ATTTAATAATATTTATAGAATTTATTTTCGTGTTATATGCTGATTGTTCTCCAACAAACTTGACCATTGGCCTGTGGGGAATAGTGATTTCTGATTCCAAGGGTTGAACATAAGGCTATGAATTTGTGGCAATCAAACTGAGTTCCATTATCGAAAACAATAATCTTTGAGAATCCAAAATCCACACATAATAGATTTCGTGGCAAACAGGGTCGTCTTTGCCGTGTTCTGATCAAATCACTTTGTGAGTTCAAATGAGGCCTCATCACGTATTGGCCTAATCATAGTGTTCTTTGTGTGCCTGATCGATCAATGACATCTATTATAATCATCTTTACAAAATTACAATACGAGTTGCAGAAGGTGATAAATATATGCTGGGTCCTCAATTGGCTTATCGCATTACAGTCTCTCATAATCGAGTTTCTCTGACTGCAAGAAAACGCAAAACGCAAGTACAAGATCAATATGAAAAATCCTTAGTGGAAACCTCAAATGACTCCAACAAAAAAACCCCATTTTAGTTGATGGATTAGTTCTTGATTATCTTCTTTGTGTATATACTTTAAACTTATGTTGTAGCTTAAGAAACAGGCAGTTACAATTACCTTGATAAGCATCTCTGTTGGAAGCCATGCTGGCGCAGTAGGTACCCCAACCCATGCTACCTAAAATATAATTGTTAGTGTTAATTTAGTCAAGATGGGATTCTCTATATTGACACTTGAACAAAACTGGCTGAGGTTTTTCATGGAGACATCTAATTGTGATATAATAAATAGACAAATTTGGATTACCATCAAATTGCACAGTTAAATGGTTATCGATTTGACCAATTTTTCATAAGAACGGTCCTATTCCTAAAGTAGAGATTTCAAAGTAGATCGTTTAAATAACTCAATTACAATACGGAGTGTACCCTACAAGTTATCTATTCAATAATGTTACTTTTATTCGAGAGATCGCTCAATTCAATGCATAGTAATGGGAATATTTTTTAATTTTGAAAAATGAATTAGCACATTATACGAAACTAAAGAAAGCATAAAACCAGACATAAGTAAGTTTTCTTACGAGTGCATATTCACCAGTCTCAAAAATGCGTAAATCCA